ACAAGTACAGACGTCATTTCATGTCTGTTCTTCTTTTTCTGACTTATTTCCTTAGCATGATACTCTCTATGTCCATCCACTTATATGCAACTTTCATGATTTCATCTTTTCTAACAGCTGCATAGTATTCCATTGTATAGATGTACCAAAGTTTCTTTAACCAGTCATCTGTTTTCGGGCACTTGGGTTTTTGCCAGATTCTGGCTATTATAAACAGTGCTGCAATAAGCATACAAGTGCAGATGTCATTTCTACTATACTCTTTTCATCTCCAGTATATATTCCCAGAAGTAGTATTGCTGGGTCCTATGGGAGCTCCATTTCTACTTTTTGTAGAAATGTCCATATTGTTTTCCAAAAAGGCTGGACAAGCCAGCATTCCCACCAACAATGAATGAGAGTCCCTTTCTTCCTGCATCTGCACCAGCACTAGTTGTTCTTGTTCTTTTTGATGTGTGCCAGTCTCTGTGATGTAAGATTATATCTCATTGTTGTTTTGATTTGCATCTCCCTGATGATTAGTGATGTAGAACGTTTTTTTTATGTGCCTTTTGGTCATTTTGAATTTCTTTTTTGAAAAAGTTTCTGCTCATTTTTCCTCCCCATTTTTTGATGGGGTTGGATATTTTTGAATGATTCCTGTACCTCTTTGACATAACTACATCCTGGTTGTTGAGACTTACTTCTTTTCTTCTTGAAAATTCCCCCTTCCTTCCCTCTATTGCCATTGTTGTTGCAAAGACTGGACATCATATTTATGTTAGGACCGAGAACTGGATATTGGGTACATGCTTGTTGTTACTGATGATGCAATGACTTGACTCTGAGAAAAGAAGGGATTCTTTGTGGAAATGGGGAAAAACACAGAATGTATGTTTCTACTAACTTGTTTTATATCTACCTATAAATAGTCCTATTTGTAACCATCTGCCATTCTATTAAGCCTGAATCCATAATGATGTTTTTTTGGGGGAGGGGGCTTGATCATGTGGTGTGTAAGTGGAACAAGGGGCCTCCAAAGATAAGGTATGTGCTCTTCCAGCCTTTGCAACAATTTCCCTGGCTCTCCCATGGTCTTGCATAATGCTTTTCCTTAAAAAAATTATACTTGTAGATTTTTCTTTTCATGCCTTCAAGGACTGTTTTTGAATTTCTTTGATAATTCTAATTCCTGGTTATTTATTTTCCTGAGTTTGTGTTCTCTAGCTTCTCCAGTTAAATTAATTGGGATCATTTTTTAATTTTTCAAGTATACATATCAATCTACTAGGAATCTACTAGGACTGCCATAAAAAATACCACAGATTCGCTGGCTTAAAAGCATAAATTTATTTTCTCACAGTTCTGGAGTCGAGAAAACCAACATCAGGGTGCTGAGAAGTTCATTTCTGTGGGGTCTTTCTTTCTGATTTGTGGGTGTTTGTCTCTTGGGGGCAACCTCACATGACCTTTCACTGCGTGTGTGTGTGTGTGTATGTGTTGTGTAGAGAAGAGAGAGGAAAGTAGAGAAAGCATGAGTGTTTCATGCTTCCTCTCTCTCCTAACATACAATCTACCATATTGTTGCTTTACAGCTGTCAGAAGCTGCGTGTGTGTGTGTTTGTGGGTGTGTGTGTATGTATTGTGTAGAGAGGCGAGGGAAAAGGAGAGAGAACATGAGTGTTTCAGGCTCTCTCTCCCTCCTAACACACAATCTACCTTATTCTGCAGCTGTCAGAAGCTCTCTGTGTGTGTGTGTGTATATATATATGTATATATATATGTGTGTGTGTGTGTGTGTGTGTATGTGTGTTTGATCTCTTCCCAGAATTTCAGGTGTACAGAGAGGTAGTTTCTTCCATCTCCTTGGGGCTTAATTTGCAGCTGTCAGAAGCTCTATGTGTGTGTGTTTGTGTGTGTGTGTGTGTGTGTATGTGTGTGTGTGTGTGTGTTCGGTCTCTTCCCAGAATTTCAGGTGTACAGAGAGGTAGTTTCTTTTATCTCCTTGGGGCTCTCTGGTCATTCCCTGGATTTCACCTCCAAGGGGATGCATGCCAGAAGCGGCCTGACAGACACTCCTGTCCCTGGGTCTGCTCTAGGCTTCCCTTCTCTGAGATGCTTCCTTCTGACTCTTAATCTCAGGGGAATGATCTGCCCCACTCCTCTCCCCATATATTTTTGTAGCGAGGAGAGAAACGTAAAAATGTTTTCTGTTGACTTTATATTTTCATATAATTCCAGACTTATTTATTAATGTTTATTTATATAGTTTTGAGGCCACGTGCTGTGAGGTGCAGGAGGCTCCTATGGGTGTGCACATAGTGCTGAGGGCCGATCCTCAGGAATTTTGTATGCAAACACACGCTCCAGTCCTTTGAACTAGGTCTCACCATCATTTTGGGCTCAAGTACAAAGAATTCTTTTTTTTTTCCCTTTATTTTATTTTATTTTTTTTTAAAGTTGTAGATTTACAATTTTTTGTGCTTTGGTTTCAATTATACAATGATCAGATACCCATCCCTCCACCAGTGCCCATTTTCCACCACCATGGATAATATCCCTCCCACCCCCATCCCCCCATCCCCCCTGTCTCTGTGGCAGGGCAATCCCCTGTGTTCTCTCTCTCCTTTTGGGTGTTGTGGTCTGCAAAAGAGGCATTGAGTGGCAAACATGTTCAGTCCATAGTCTACTTTCGACATGCATCTCCCCTCCTGGGAGGATCCTCCAAACATCTTTTATGTGGTGCTCCCTTCTCTATCTGAACTGCCCTTTCCTCTAGGATACCCGGCTGGCCTCTAAGTTATGGAGTAATCCTCCTGGTGCTGATCTCAACTATTCTTGGGTATTAATCTCATACTTTGTTACTTTATATCCCCCAGATGAATGCAATCTTTCTATGTCTATCCCTCTCTTTCTGACTCATTTCGCTTAGCATGATACTTTCCATATTGAAGTACAAAGAATTCTTGAGTCCCCTTTAACAATATGCCCCACATGTTGGCTGTTTACCATGTTTTATTTCTCTTTTTGTCTTTCCCCATCCCTTGCTTCCCTCTTCACACAAAGACATAAACAAGTCAGGATCTTAGTATTGATTAACATGTTATCAATTTATAGGTTTTGTTTATAATTCGCTGATTATCCCACTAAAATTCCAACAAAAGAAAATAGCAGGTCATATATTGCTGTTAGTTGTTATGTTTCTACTCTTTTGTGTGTGTGTGTGTGTGTGTGTGTGTGTGTGTGTGTGTTTTGTGGCTCTGATAATTATGAAAGACAACAGGCCTGATGTTTTGTCGACTGTCTTTCAGCCCTGGACTCGTTTCTGTTTCTGGGTGATTAGGTTCAGGTTACATGTGTGGGCAGGAATTCCACATAAGTGATACTGTGTTCTTTTCATGGATCACATCAGTCAGCTCCTGACATTGATGGTCTGATTCCTGTGATGTTAGCTTTATTTGGTAAGGTAGTATCTGCCAAGTTACTCCACTGAAGGTGTTATTGCTGTTTTTCTTTTTTTCTTTTTCTTATTTTTGGGGGGTGAGGGCACACCTGGCAGTGCTTAGGTGCTGCTCCCAGCTCAGTGCTCCAGGGTTGCTCCTGGAGGGGCTCAGGGATCGAAACCAGGCTTTTTACATGCACAGTGGGTGAGCAGCTCTTTGAGCTTTCTCTCTGACCCCCTTTTTTTTTTATATTGATAAAGTTATTTTTGTGGGGAGGAATTCTGAATTCTGTGGGGAGGAATTCTGAGAATTTTGTGGGGAGGAATTCAGCGATATCCTATCATTCAAACTTTTACCTATTAGTTTTATCATCTATTGATGATATATATGCATATATATACATATAAATACACACACACATATATATATATATATGTTTAATTTGAAGGGAGAGTTTTGTAAAGAAGGACTTTTGGAACTTAGAAAATACTCCCCCACCTCCACCAGGGTTGAGCTCTTGGAATTGAATGTCTGACTTAAAAATCATTATTTATTTGCTTGTTTTTTAAATGTAGTGTTGGGGATCAGACCCAAGGCCTCACACCTTCAAAGGCATGTGTCTATTCTTCTGCTGAGCCACATACTCATTCTTTTCTTTCATCTTAAGGACTATGCATCTGAAGTCTTCACCTTGAGTATCTAAAAGAAAAATGTAGTTATCCAGTATGCATTTTCTCTGAGTGTTGGACTTTCTGGGAAATCAATGTGACATTTTGGCATACTCCCAGCAGACTAGGGGGACCATATGGGAACTGGGATTGAACCCTGGTTGGCTGTGTGCAAGGCAAGTGCCTTACCCATTGTACTCTATCTCTGGCCCCTAAAACTTAGAATTCTGGATTAATGGTGTTTGTACTCTTAGTTTTTTGAGGAGTCTGCATACTGTTTCCCATAAAGACTGCACCAGTTTACATTCCCATCAGCATTACAAGAGGGTTATTTCTTCTGTCTTTGCCAGCACTTGTTGTTTCTTATCTCTTGATAATTATCATTCTTACAGGCAGTAAGGTGATATATCTGTGGTTTTTGAGTTATAGTTCTCCAATAATAAGTGATGATGGGCTATGGATGGCCATCTGCGTTTCTTCTTTAGTGAAATATCTATCCAGATACTCTGCCAAGTTTTTGAAATTTAGGTTGTCTTGTTGTTAAGTTATACGTTTTTAATATTGACTCCCTTGTCAGATGTACAATTTGTAAATATATTTTCCTACTCAAAAAGGTCATCTTTTTGTTTTGATGTTACTTTCAACATCAAAACAAAGAGAAGTGTTTTGTTTTATACATTCCCTTTATTTGTTTTTGCATTTGTTCCTCTTGCATTAGAAAAGAATAGCCAAAGATATAATTAAGGCTATCAGGAAGTGACTTTGTGTTAATAAATGTTGGGTAGAGGGGATTGAATGAGTATTACAGAGAATATTAGATTTTGGATTTTTTTTAAAACAGTGATTCATGTAGATAATTCCTGATTTATTTGTATTTATTTCTGAACAAGTGATTTTTAAAAATTTGTAGGTTCTTCAGGTTATGAATATGAAGATAGCTTTTGCACAGTATTTCACACACAGCTCCCTCCTGAAGAATATGAAAAGCATATTCAGAATGTTAATCCAGGTATGTTTAAATTTGTGAAATTTTATATGCTGTCACAAGACATAGTGAATATTCACAGATGAAACAATTTAATCCAGAGGTATATGTAAATAGGTGGGATTCTAGATGAAATAAGATTGATCATTCTTGAAACTAGTTAACTGAGAGATCCTTATGCCATCTTTCTAATTTTGTATTTTTGAAATTGTATAAAATTGTATAAAGAAGTAAAATAAAACCTGGCTGTAAGGGATGGAAGCCTAGCAAAAAGGAAAATTTATGGTAAGTATCAAAGAAAGACAGCTTTCTTTGAGTCCCAAGGGAATATTCTGTGGTTAGGAACTGAGAGACTGAATCCCATATTCTTGAGAAGAGACTGACTGATCCAACTTGGGCTCAGTGCTTACTCCATGTCTAGCCAATTCGTCCTCCCCAGCAAGGAATGGGATCTTGGTGGGACTGTGGCCAATCCTGTGGTGGCTCACCCCCACTGCAGAGTAGGAGAAGGCATTTCTTGAGCCAGCATTCTGTCCAGATAACCCATTTTTTTACCCTAAAGTTTATTAAAATTAAATTTTAAGGGAGCTGTTATAAATATAGGCTTAGATCCAAAGTTATTTTAATGTTGTATTAAGAATATATGATACATCAACTGAACAAACTATGTGATTGATTATGTGATAAAAAGAAAACCCTCATATTTATTTACTTATTTTTTTTTTGCTTTTTTGGATCACACTTGGCCATGCTCAGGGCTTACTCCTGGCTGTGCACTCAGGAATCACTCCTGGCGGTGCTTGGAGGAGGACATGGGATGCTGGGGATCAAACCTTAGTCACCAAGTGCAAGGCAAATGCCCTACCCTCATTTTTTTTATTAGTGAAACACCATGAAGTACAGTTGTAGACTTACAAACTTTTGTGCTTGGGTTTCAGTTATACAGTGATCAAGTACCCATCCCTCCACCAGTGCCCATTCTCCACCACCAATGAACCCAGTAGCCCTCCCACCCTCCCATCCCCACCACCCCACCCCACCAAGAGTGGCAGGGCATTCCCTTTTGCTCTCTCTTTCCTTTAGGGTGTTGTGGTTTGCAATAGAGGTATTGAGTGGCCATTGTGTTCCGTCTATAGTCTACTTTCAGCACGCATCTCACATCCTGAGCGAGTCCTCCAAACACCTTTTACTTGGTGTTCCCTTCTCTATCTGAGCTGCTCTCTCCCCCAGCATGTGCTGCCAGCTTCCGAGCCATGGAGCAGACCTCCTGGTACTTATCTCAACTATTCTTGGGTGTTTGTCTCCCATTCTGTTACTTTATATTCCCCAGATGAGTGCAGTCTGTCTATGTCTGTCCTTCTCTTTCTGACTCATTTCACTTAGTATGATACTTTCCATGTAGAATCACTTGTATGCAAATTTCATGACTTCATCTTTTCTAACAGCTGCATAGTATTCCATTGTGTAGATGTACCAAAGTTTCTTTAACCAGTCATCTATTCTTGAGCCTCGGGTTTTTTCCAGATTTTGGCTATTGTGAACAGTGTAGCAATGAACATACAAGTGTAGATATCATTTTTACTATACTTTTTTGCCTCTCTGGGATATATTCCCAGGAGTGGTATTGCTGGGTCAAATGGGAGCTCAATTTCTAATTTTTAAGAATCATCCATACTGTTTTCCAAAAGGGCTTAACCAGTTGGCATTTCCACCATCAGTGAAAGATGGTCCCTTTCTCCCCACATCCGCGCCAACACTGGTTGCTTTTGTTCTTTTGGATGTGGGCCAGTCTCTGTGGTTTGAGATGATATCTCATTGTTGTTTTGATCTGCATCTCCCTAATCGTTAGTGATGTAGAGCATTTTCTCATGCGCCTTTTTGCCATTCGGATTTGTTCTTTGAGAAAGTTTCTGTTCATTTCATCGCCCCATTTTTTGATGGGGTTGGATGTTTTCTTCTTTTGGAGTTCAACCAGTGCTTTGTATATCCTTGATATCAACCCCTTATCAGATGTGTATTGGGTGAATATTTTTTCTCATTCTGTAGATTGTCTTTGTGTTTTGGTCACTGTATCTTTTGCAGTGCAGAAGCTTCTTAGTTTAATATAGTCCCATTTGCTTATCTCTGTTTCCACTTGGTTGGTCAGTGGCATGTCATCTTTGAAGATACCTTTGACCTCAATATCGTGGAGGGTTTTGCCAAGCTTGTCTTCAATATACTTTATGGATTCTGGTCCAATGTTGCTGTCTTTAATCCATTTTGATCTGACTTTTATGCACAGTGTTAAGTTGAGGTCTAAGTCCATTTTGTTTTTTGCATGTCCTACCCTAATTTATTTTTGTCTTATATTTATTTATTGAATCACTGTGGGAAAAGTTACTAAGCTTTCATGTTAAGTCTCGGTCATACAATGATCAAATACCTTTCCTTTCCTGTACTCACATTTCACCACCAAGAGCCCCAATATACCCCCCTCCAACCCCAACCAATGCCTGTGAAGCAGATGATTTCTACTTAACTCTTCTCTACATTGATTACATTCATCATTTCGAAAAAAGGTGCACCATTATTGTTTAGAATTCCCCCCCACCCCAACGATCAGAGTTGCTGAAAAGGCATTGTGAAATACTTTGTTTTCTATAGTTGATTATGAGAATCATATAATGTGGCATGGCCACTATTGTGGCCACACAATTTTGGATTTCTGCAAAGATCCAGATAATTTAGAGATTGGTTTCTGTGCGTCTGGTGTTATGGTTGTGCTGGAGAGCCGCTCGTGGGGAAGTAACTCAGGACCTCGGTAAGGCGTGAAGGACGAGCTGCCTACCCTAATTTTTAAAGGATAGGTTTATTTGCATAGAAACTTTGATTTTGCTGGAAGAGATTTTTAAATTCAGAGACCTTACCCTTTCCTTCATTTTTTCATTTATTATCATCAAAATTTATTCTTAATGACTAAATTTGTATTGGATTTTTGATGATCAGATAGCATAATAGTTGATTAACTTCCTTGTTCTTTTATGTGTTTGTGGTTTTTTGAGTCACACCCAACAGTACTTAGGCTCTACAATTAGGGACCGTTCCTGCTGGGGCTTAGGGTCCCATATGGGGTGCTGGGGATCAAACCCAGGCTGTCCTCATGCAAGGTCAGTGTCCTGTTTGCTGTACTATCTCTCTTACCCACTTTGTTCTTTCTTATTATGATAATTTCTCTTGTAAATCAAAGATGTCTTTTAAGTAAGCCTCATCCGGATTGTGCTACTGACTGATTTTATCTTTTTGAACTTGATATTATTTATTATTCAATAAGATTTCTTTATGCATAATGAAGGCACCACTTAATATTTTTTTATATGTCCCAAACTTGACTGTGGTGAAAAAAAAACTATATATCTGGGTCTGAATATCTCAGAGGTTGTCTTGTTTCTCTTCAAAGTTTGAGGAAAACTGATAAACCACAACAGGCTCTAAGAGTTTATGTAGGTAGGATGTAGAACATCAAGGACACTTACTCCCAGATCTTGTATAAAAGACAGCTGTAAAGAATATTTCTCATTCAGAAATAATGGCAGATTAATAGAATAGCAGGAAATGACTGGCCTTCACAAACTTGGAATGGTTTGTTTCATAGAAATACTAAATGAAATATTTTTTTAAAATAATGTAGGAGTATTGCTATTTGTTCAGCCATTGATTAAGCTGATTGAGTTGGGCATGAACTCCACATTACTTTTTTATTTTATTGTATCACCGTGAGATAGAGTTGCAAAGCTTTCATGTTTGAGATTCAGCTATACAATGATGAAACACCCATCCCTCCACCAGTGTACATTTTCCACCACGAATATCCCAAGTATCACCCTCCCTCTCACATACATACATATCACAGTCCTCACCCTGCCTCTATGGCAGACAATTTCCCCAGTACTCACTCTCTAATTTGGGGCATTAATTTTACTCGAATTTTCCCACCACCATTCAAGCCTACCTGCCAGGGGCAGACACCAGATAATATATTTTCTATAGTTTATTTCAAATATCACGAGAGCTCACATGGGTGCAATTGCAAATGTAAATTTCTAAATTGTAAATGGTTGGGTTCCAGAGACATCTCTGTATGGCACTAATTCATTTTGGGATTCAATTGGGAGCCTCTGGGCCAGGCCTGTTGGTGCGCTAAGATGGCATCCAGAGGCAAATTGTGGGCATGACAACCAGTCTTCTGGGCAGGTGGTGACCTAGGGAGGGACAGCCCAGGACCTCTGCCACCCTGCAGCCTAGAGATTTAGTCCTGGACCCACATACATAGGCCTTGCTCTGAAAGCTCTTGGTCACTGGGATTCCATCTGAAGTAAGTGAGGAGACTGCACCTGCTCCATCTGGGATGCCTGGTGATATTGGTGGTATGGAGCCCAGAGAGATCTCCAGCACTGTGGTTTCCGGGACTTGCTGCTGTGTCTTTGGGCCAGGGGTGTTGGCACACTAAGATCCACATTAAATCGAAATTTTCAGCAGATTATATCTTGGTGAGGTCCATCCTGAGACAGTGGAATCAGGCTTAGGGCATGGCGGCAATTTTATTTATTTATTTATTTATTTATTTAATTATTTGTTGCATGATTTTTTTTATTTGGGTTCCTTTTTCAGTTTTTTTAAATATAATTTATTAATTTATTGAATCACTGTGGGAAAAGTTACAAAGCTTTCAGGTTTAAGTCTCGGTCATGCAATCATCAAACACATTTCCCTTCACCAGTACTTATTTTTCACCAAGAAGAACTCCAAATATACCTCCCTCCCAACCCTCCCAATGCCTATGAGGCAGATGAATTCTAGTTAACACTCTATCTACTTTGATCAGATTCATTGTTTTGACAAAATATGCACTATTATTATGTAGCGTTTATACCCCCAAATCAGACCTGTTGAAAAGACATTCTGAAATAATTTGTTTCTATAGCTGGTTACAAGAATCAAATGATGACACGTGGCCACAATAGTGGCCCTGTGATTTTGGATTTCTGATATTTTACTTATTAAGCCTGGAAGTATTTCTGCCTAGAGTCAGATAATTATAAGACTGGTTTCTGTGGCTCTAGAGCCATGGCTGTGCTGGAGAGCCACTTGTGGGGGGCAACTCGTGACCTCAGTAGGGCGTGAAGGACAAGCCCAGAACGCCTCCCTTCCCATGAGGTTTCAGTTGCCCCCTTCACGACCGGCTCATACCTGGCTTTCCAAAAAGCTCTGAGGCGGCCACCATCTTGCTGTCCAGAGGGAAAAAGGCAGAAGGGAGCAACATCCTTTTCCCTCCGGGCAGGCATGGTGGCATGGATTAACGCATAGTCCATTCACTTTACTGCCACAAGCTGCTGGGTTCTGCATTAAGTCCTTGTGCTTCTGGAGCCATGGCCGTGCCGGAGAGCCACTCATCGGGGGCAACTTGTGACCTCAGTAGGGCATGAAGGACGAGCCCGGAATGCCCCCCTTCCCATGAGGTTTCAGTCGCCCCCGTCATGACTGGATCATACCTGGCTTTCCAAAAAGCTCCGAGGCGGCCATGGTGGCAATTTTAGATTGTGGAAGCAAGTGGCTGCCACAAACTCTGCTTGGGTGGGCACAGGCCAATCTACCCCCTCCAGTTTACTCTGGACTCTTCAGCCATGTATGGGTCTGAGTTTAACTGTGGCATTTGATCTCTTTCTTGATTTATTTAGGGGTCTCTGAGGCAAGGCCAATAGTAGAGCTTACAGGGTGGCACTGGAGTTGGTTCATGGGGGTGACTGCCAGTTCTTCCATGTTTGGAAAGTTGGGGGAGGTAGCCCATCCCAACTCTGAGTTAGTTTGTATGGCTGAGCTGGAGGTGGTTTGTTGGTGTGACTCCCACATACCTAACTTTTGGCCATTTAATTTCTTGGTAAACTTGTTCCCAGGTTGCTGAGGTCTGGCCAAAGGCACAGTGGCAATTTTGGGGTACAAGAAGCCTGAAGGCAACATCAGGCTGCTGATGCACTCGCCCCTCAGGTACAGGTTGACCTGTTGGCAGCACCATACCCCCCTAAATGAAATATTTAAAAATCTTATTAACATGGAAGATTTCTCTTTTGTGTGTATCACTTGGAATCCTCTTCATATTTCCCATGAGTCTAAAGGAATCAACGGCAAGAAGTTTGATATATTGAGAGTGAATAACAAATAAAGCTTTCTGACAACTTCATTGAAAATTATGGTAGCCAATTTCTCTTTTAAAACTGAATCTCCTAAGGTTCAGAAATAAAGGGGGCCAGGGGGACTGGGCAATGGTTGGAAGTTTGCCACAAGTGTGTTGTGAGCGAAGGGCAGTTGGGATACAGAAGGGACCAGTATGACAATAAAAGTTGGAAATGATCATTTTGGACAGCTTTGTAATCGTGTATTTCACTGTGATTCAATTAATAAACAAATTTCAAAAACCTGGATCTCCACATATGTTTGGCTTCTGGATCTTCATAAAAAATTACAAAGTTTCAAGAAAAGTGTCTGTTTCTTATATATTACGACATATGCTTAAAGTGAAGTTTTATCATAATTGGTGATTATATTTATACAGAGTTTGAACTTTCTTAATATTAGATTTTACCTATGATGCGGCAAGGAATCAGTCATTGATCAAAGCAGGAAAGAAACCTTTCTCAGATACTGAAAAGATTGGGCTCAGGGACAAAGACAGCCAGGATTTTATTAAGCGAAACATTGAGGTATGTACTTAGAAATTCAGAAGCCAGAATATGGAACCCAAATAGTTGTAGAAATGGAACTAGTTGTGCTTGGTTTTTAGCACAAAATGTTTTAGTATTCCCCCCCCCGGATATATGCATATGTATTTGTAACAGTACATATATAGCTGAAAGAAAAATTTTATGGAAAAGTACTTAGCTATACTCTTTTCTGTCTTGGTTGATTCTATCCCATCCTGCCTCTTTCTCACAATTCCAGCTGCAATTCCTAGTCATGAATCTTTTTCATGCAATTTGAAAAAAAATACTTATTTGCACAAATAAATGTTATTGATTTTGGCAATGTTTTCTATATTTCATAAGTAAAATTCTCATTTATAAAGAAATAAGGCAGATTTTATGTCTAGTATTTTTAGGAACATGAATGGGAAATGCTCATGGCAGTGTTGGAGAAGCCACTTGCTCTGTTGCCCATTTTCCTTTTCCAGATTGATTCCTTGCAGTCTGTCACTTGTCACTTGTTCTGGATCTTGATTAGTCCCTGCTTCAGGACCTTTTTTTTAATTGCAAAATCCCATTGTATTTATTATTTTTTTGTTAATTGTTTCTTTCTTTTTTTTTTTGCTTTTTGGGTCACACCTGGCGATGCACAGGGGTTACTCCTGGCTCTGCACTCAGGAATCACCCCTGGCAGGGCTCAGGGGACCATATGGGATGCTGGGAATTGAACCTGAGTCGGCCCGTGTAAGGCAAATGCCCTACCCGCTGTGCTCCAGCCCCAATTGTTTATTTTTATTTATTTATTTAAAAAACTTTTTTATTAGTGACACACCATGAGGTACAAAGATTCCTAGGAAGTGGCACAAAGATTCCTTCCAAACTCAGAAAGTATTTTTGCATTGCTGTGTATTTCATATATCTGTAACCTGCAAACTTTCAGTGTTTTATTCTTAAAATGAAATGTCTATTGGAATGGTCAACAGTGTTGGGGTTGATTATAATAGGACTATCTCAGTTTGGAGAAATTGTACTAAAATTGTGCATAGAATAAAATGGACTAGCAAATGAAAATTCCTAATCAGATAACTTTTTGCTAGTGATTCTGTATTATGGATGCCTCCAGTTGTACTTTTTATTATTCTGAACTATGATATTCTTTGAATATTTAATAGTCTTCATTAATACGTTTTCTAGTTAGCTAAAGATTCAGGAAACCCAGTGGGTATGATTGACAAAGAGAAGAAAAGACTGATTGAACTTCTGAAGGACTTCGATGATAAAGATTCAGGCCTGTCCAGTTCTGAAGTATGTAAAATTATATTTAATGATCTCTATATTTCTTGATTTTTATTTTTAATCACATTATTGGCCCCTTTGCACACAAATTTCTAGTTATCTTTTGAGAATGTGAGTTAATTTGTTTTCTTTTTTGGGTCACACCCGGCGATGCACAGGGGTTACTCTTGGCTGTGCTCGGGAGACCATATGGGATGCTGGGAATCGAACCCGGGTGGGCTTTGTGCAAGGCAAATGCCCTACCCCCTGTGCTATCGCTCTAGCCCCAGCGAGTTAATTTTTTAAAGTCATTCTGCAAGTTAGTTTTGGCTTTTGGAGTGTAGGCATGTGCTATCAACCATGCCTGCACATCTTGGGCCACTCTCCTCATCAGCTGTAGTTTAAAGTGCAGAACTGTGTTGTTGCGTAGATTAAGATGGGATTAAAATGATTTCCCTAGGAAGCCTCTCTAACCACTTTGTCACCCTGTCCATTTCTTCCTACAAAGATGTGTGAGCCCTCAGTGGCTCCCAGGTGCCCTGGGCTTACTAGCATTCCATACCTTTTGTGTGTGTGTGTGTGTGTGTGTGTGTGTGTGTGTGTGTGTGTTGATTCTTTCTGCCTAGGAACTGAGGACTTATTTATTTTTGGTGTTTTGGCCACACCCTGTGGGGTGTTCAAGATCTTGCTTCTAGATCTGCACTCAGGGATCACTTTTGGCTGGGGTGTAGGAATTTATGTGATTCCAGGATCAAACTCAGGTTGGCCAAGTGCCAGGCAAGTGTCCTAGTCACCGTACCATCACTCTAGCCACAGGGCCTAAGAATTTCTTGGAGGAAGAAACTTGTGAAGCTCATATTGAGTTACCATCACCCAGTGTTATGCCTGTGCATAACAGAGATTTTTGAATAAATATTAAGTTCATGGTGAAACTATTGAACTTAGTTGAATAAGGAGTTAGATAACCAGTTAAGCTGATGAAACCCACTCAATTTATAGACTTTATGTCCCGCCCCAGGGGAAATATTAGAGAATAACACACCCATTATAGGGAAAAACTAGTTTCTTCTTATTCAGCATCACAAACCATTTTTCAAAGTGGGGAAAGGAGCATGTTACGAGAACCAGACTGCAAGGCTAAGTGGTATATGCAATGGAGAAAATCTCGTATCACTGTAAGAAGATGCTCTACACAGGGTCGGCAGATAATGTAACCAGACCCTAATTTTTTCTTTTATTTTCCCAATGATGATTCAGTGTTTATATTTCTGTTTGTTTGTATGACTATTTTAGGGAAGTTCTGAACAATGATATAGCAGGTAATTTTTAGAGAAAATGTATCATGGGAATGACCTGGCAACCATTCTTTTCTCTTAGGGTGATCAGTTGTCCAATGGACTGGTCCCAGGAGAAGGTTACACGCTTGAAGATCCCCAGCACCAGCAGCTCGCTGAAATTGATACCAAACTCCAAGAACTCTCCGTGTCTTTTTCTCCAAGATATGAACATCAGAATGATCAGGTATATCTAATTCAGGCGCACAGAATGTTCAGGTTTTTGTGTACTTAAGCTTGTTCACATAGTTTTGTGAGCAACCATCTTCTTGTGAACTAGATATTTCTTCTCAGCTGCTTTTGCCATAATTATAGTTACAGGGAAAAAGATTTCCATAATAATGTGTTACTTTCCTTCAGTGACTTCTACTTCCAGTTCATTTTTCTTCCAGTTGATAATGTTGCTAGGGTGGAGGAGCCGAGGAAATGTCTATTGCTGTATTTTTATGTGTTTATGATTTATGCTGGGCTGGAGCAATAGCACAGCAGGCAGGGCGTTTGCCTTGCATGCAGCCGACCTGGGTTCAATTCCTCTGTCCCTCTCGGAGAGCCTGGCAAGCTACCAAGAGTATCCTGACCCCATGGAAGAGCCTGGCAAGCTCCCGGTGGTGTATTCTATATGCTAAAAACAGTAACAACAAGTCTCACAATGGAGACATTACTGGCGCCCGCTCAAGCAAATCAGTGAACAATGGGAGGACAGTGCTATGATTTTTTTTTTATATTTTAAAATTATTTTTACTAGTGAAACACCATGAGGTATAGATGTAGACTTGCAATTTTTGTGCTTGGGTTTCAGTTATACAATGATTGAGTACCCATCCCTCTACCCGTGCCCATTCTCCACCTCCAGTGCTCTCAGTATCCCTCCACCCCCCACCCCCCCATCTCCCTCATCCCACCCCACCCTTGTGGCAGGGCATTCCCTTTTCTTTTCTCTCTCCTTTTGGGTGCTGAGGTTTGCAAAAGAGGCATTGAGTGGCAATCATGTTCGGTCTATAGTCTACTTTCAGCATCATCTCTCATCCTGAGAGCATCCTCCCTTTATTTAGTGCTCCCTTCTCTATCAGAGCTGCCTTTTCCCTTTGCATGTGCGGCTGGCCTTCAAGCCATGGAGTGAACCTCCTAGTACTTATCTCGGCTATTCTTGGATGTTTGTCTCCTATTTTGTTACTTTATATTCCCCAGATGAATGTAGTCTTTCTATGTCTGTCCCTCTCTTTCTGACTCATTTCACTTAGCATGATATTTTCCATGTAGTACCACTTGTATGTAAATTTCATGATTTCATCTTTTCTAACAGCTGAATAGTGCTCCATTGTGTAGATGCACCAAAGTTTCTTTAACCAGTCATCTGTTCTCAGGCACTAGGGTTTTTTTTCCAGATTTTGGCTGTTGTTAATAATGCAGCAATGAACATAGAAGTGCAAATGTCATTTTGACTGTACTTTTTTACCTCTCAGGGATATATTCCCAGGATGGTATAGCTGGGTCAAATGGGAGCTCAATTTCTAATTTTTTTTGAGAATGGTCCATACTATTTTCCAAAAGGGCTGGACCAGTTGGCATTCCCACCAGCAGTGAAATGGAGTCCCTTTCTCACCATAACCATGCCAACACAGGTTGCTTTTGTTCTTTTGTATGTGGGTCAGTCTCTGTGGTGTGAGATTATATCTCATTGTTTGTTTTGATCTTCATCTCCCTGATGGTGGGCTGGAGCGATAGCAGGGCTGGAGCGATAGCACAGCGGGTAGGGCTTTCGCCTTACAAGCGGCCAACATGGCCGACCCGAGTTCGATTCCTCCGCCCCTCTCGGAGAGCCCGGCAAGCTACCGAGAGTATTCGATATGCCAAACACAGTAACAACAAAGTCTCCAATGGAGACGTTACTGGGCCCGCTCGAGCAAATCGACGATCAACGGGAGGGCCTTTACCTTTACCTTTACCTCCCTGATGGTTAGTGATGTAGAGCATTTTCTCATGTGTCTTTTAGCCATTCGAATTTCTTCTTTGGAAAAGTTTCTGTTCATTTCATCACTCCATTTTTTGATGGGGTTAGTTGTTTTCTTCCTGTAGAGTTCAACCAGTGCTTTGTATATCTTTGATATCAACCCCTTATCAGATGGGTATTGGGTAAATATCCTTTCCAATTCTGTAGATTGTCTTTGTATTCTGGTCACTGTATCTTTTGGGGTGCAGAAGCTTCTTAATTTAAGATAGTCCCATTTGCTTATCTCTGTTTCCACTTGGTTGGTCAGTGGAGTGTCATCTTTGAAGATACTGTTAGCCTCAATATCATGGAGGGTTTTACAACCTTGTCTTAAATGTACCTTATGGATTTTGACCTGATGTTGAGATCTTTAATCCATTTTGATTTGACTTTTGTGCATGGTGTTAAGTCGAGATCTAAGCCCATTTTTTTTTTTTTTTGCTTTTTGGGTCATACCCAGTGATGCACAGGGGTTACTCCTGGTTCATGCACTCAGGAATTACTCCCGGCGGTACTCAGGGGACCATATGGGATGCTGGGAATCGAACCTGGGTCAGGCCACAGGCAAGGCAAACACCCTACCCACTGTGCTATCACTCCAGCCCCCTAAGCCCATTTTTTTTGCATGTGGTTCTCCAGTTATGCTAGCATCATTTGTTCAAGAGGCTTTCCTTGCTCCACTTCACATTTCTTGCTTCCTTATCAATGATTAGATATTCATACATTTGGGGTTGCGTATACGGATATTCCACCCTGTTCCATGGGTCTGTGGCTCTGCCTTTGTTCCAGTACCATGCTGTTTTAATTATTACTGCTTTGTAGTAGAGTTTGAGATTGGGGAGGGTGATGCCTCCCCACGTCCTTTTCCCAAGAATTGTTTTAGCTATTCTCGTTTGTTGTTTCATATGAATTTCAGGAGTGCTTGATCTATTTCTTTGAAGAATTTCATGGGTATCCTTATAGGGATTGTGTTGAATCTGTATAATGCTTTCAGGAGTATTGCCATTGTGACGATGTTAATTCTTCCTATCCATGAGCAGGGGATATGTTTCCAATTCCTCATGTCCTTTTTTAGTTTATGGAGTAGTGTTTTGTAGTTTTCATTGTAGAGGTCCTTTACCTCTTTACTTAGGCTGATTTTGAGGTATTTGATTTTCTGGGGCACAATTGTGAATGGAATTATTTTTTTCATGTCACTTTCCTCTCTTTCATTATTTGCGTATAGGAAGGCCATGGATTTTTTTGGCATTGATTTTATAGCCTGAGACTTTACTGTACAAGTCTACTGTTTCTAGGAGTTTCTTGATAGAGGATTTAGGATTCTCGAGATATCGTATCATATCATCTGCGAATAGTGAGAGCTTGATTTCTTCCTTTACTATCTGGATGTCTTTAATGTCTTTTTCTTGCCTAATCGCTATTACAAGTACTTCCAGCAGTATGTTTAACAGAAGTGGTGATAGTGGGCATCCTTGTCTTGTCCCTGATCTTAGAGGAAAGGCCCCTAGTTTTTCCCCATTGAGGATAATGCTTGCCATGGGTTTGTTGTAGATGGCTTTGAGTATCTTGAGGAAAGTTCCTTCAAAACCCATTTTGGTGAGAGTTTTCATCATAAACGGGTGCTGTATCTTGTCAAAAGCTTTCTATGCATCTATTGATATGATCATATGGTTTTTATCTTTACTTTTGTTGATATGATGGATTATGTTGATTGATTTTCGAATGTGAAACCATCCTTGCATCCCCAGGATGAATCCCACCTGGTCGTGGTGTATGATCTTTTTGATGAGTTGTTGTATTCTATTTGCTAACATTTTGTTGAGGATCTTCACATTCGTGTTTATCAGAGATATTGGCCTATAGTTTTCTTTGTGGGTGATGTCTTTGTTTGCTTTTGGTATTAGGGAGATATATGCCTCATAGAAGATGTTTAAGAGAGTTCCTGTTTTTTCAATTTCCTGGAAAATCTTGAAGAAAACTGGCAAAAGTTCTTCTTTAAATGTTTGGAAGAATTCACTAGTGAATCCGTCTGGGCCTGGGCTTTTGTTTTTGGGAAGACTTTTGATTACTGGTTCAATTTCCTTGATATGAATGGGTCTATTCAGGTATCCCCAGTCTTCCTGGTTCAGTCTTTGGAGGTTATAGAAATCCAGGAATTTATCCATTTCTTCTAGGTTCTCTTGTTTTGTGGCATACAGACTCTCAAAGTAGTCTCTGATGATCTTTTGAATTTCATTGGTTTCTCTTTTCATTTCTGATTCGGTTTATTAGGGTTCTCTCTCTCTTTCTTTGTGAGTCTTGCTAGTGGTTTATCATTCTTATTTATTTTCTCAAAGAGCCAGCTCTTGGTTTCATTAACCTTTCGGATTGTTTTTTTGGTTTCCATATTGTTAATTTCTGCTCTAAGTTTTATTATTTCTTTCCTTTGGCCAATTTTGGGTTCCTTTTGTTGGTCTTTTTCTAAGATCTTGAGCTGTGTGGTTAGGTTATCTATGTAGGCCCTTTTTCTTTCCTTAGGAATGCTTGCAACACTATAAATTTTCCTCTTAGCATGGTTTTAACTGCATCCCATAGGTTCTGATAGCTCGTGTCTTCATTCTCATTTGTTTTCAGGTATCCTTTTATTTTGTCTTTGACTTCCTTCCTAACCCACTCATTGTTCAACACTGAGTTGTTTAATTTCCAGGTGTCTGAATGTCTTTGTGTGATTCACTTCTATCTTGAGTGCATCGTGGTCTGAAAAAGATTGTTGATACTATTTCTATCTTTTTTATTCTATTGAGGTATATTTTGTGGCCTAGCACGTGGTCTATTTTGGAAAATGTTTTGTGTGTACTGGAGGAGAATGTGTATTCTTTCTTTTTGGGGTGTAAAGCCCTATATAGGTCTATTAGTCCTCTCTCTTCTATTTCTTTCTTCAAAGCCAATGATTCCTTGATGAGTTTTGTTCTTGTTGATCTATCCAGAGATGATAAGGTGATGTTGAAGTCTCCAACTACTATTGTGTTTCTAGCAATGTCCTCCTTAAAATCTGTAAGCAGTTGTTTTAAGTATTTAGCCATCCCCTCATTAGGTGCATATACATTTAAGAGTGTGATTTCTTCCTGTTGTACGTATCCCTTGATAAATAGAAAATGGCAATCGCTGTCCCTTCTAATCATTACACCTGAAATTTATGTTGTCAGATACTAGTATGG